TTTGGATAGCTGTCTTTTCTAAATAAAAGGAATCCCCATTTAATTTATCTTTCTGTTTGACAATAAAATTGACGTCATGACCTGAAAGTTTCAATGTGGAAAAGGAGCAAAGCAGAAGAAATCTGTAAGAAAATCTAATTTAACATCAGTGTACTTTAACTTCATGCCTGATGTTTCTCTTCTCTTTGCAGGTTTATGTTGTGGCTCTGGGTGGAATGTTACTCAATCAGCAGGTTACCATCGGCGGCTCAGGAAGCACCTACATCTACGGATACGTTGACGCTAAATACAAACCCAACATGACCAGAGAGGAATGTGTGCAGTTTGCCACCAATGGTATAATTACTGATTCAGTTCCTATAGCAATTTAGTGTGGATTTTTAATAGAGTACCTTTCAATGTTTGAAATTTGATTAATGGTAGCTGCAATTTAATTATTAAAAAAATAATGTGATAACAAAAGACAGATGCTAAGTGAAAGAATGAGTTTAATATATTCCAGAAAATGATTACAGAAAATTATGGATGTTAAAGAAAATTAATAAGGGAATCAGAATTGGATCCTATATGTTTTATCCTGAATCAAACCGGTTAATGTCACAGTAGCTTTGGCTGTATTCTATGCCTGTTGAACCTGACATATATATTTCCTCTTTTCACTCTGCAGCTCTTGCTCTGGCGATGGGAAGGGACAACGTCAGCGGAGGTGTTGTTCACCTGGTGGTGATCACAGAAAAAGAGGTGGAGCATGTGGTTGTACCTGGAGACAAGCTGCCAAGATTTCACGATGAATGAATGATTTTTTATGATTTAGTTTTACATACATGTTTGAATTTTTGGAATGATCTCTTTGAATTTCTAATTGATATAATTTGTTCTGTCTTAGCTATTGGCTACAAGAACACTCTTTCCATTTCATGTTAGGTGAGCAACCTTAGTGTCATTTAAATAAACAATTGGGTATCTCATGTGAAAGACAGGTGTCTGTTTTTTAATAAGTAATAGTTAAGTTTATGACCAAAAAATAACTACAATTCTATTTGAATACGTCTTTATCCAAGAAAATAAAACATTTTGTT